ACATTGGAGCTACCGCAAGAGGTCTCGCCACGAGGATGAAAAAACATAAATACTCGATAAGAAAAAAGCTGACCACAATGGCACTAGCAACATATGCAAATGATGACGACGTTCATGTTGATCTAAAAAACGCTAAATTACTACACAAAGTATCGGATAAAGCACAACTCAAGTACCTCAAATCGCTGGAGATATATAAGGCAATTAAAAAAGGGGTCGGTATTAATTTCAAAGAAACCGATACGCTTTCCGTAGCATGGCATGCCATGTTTGAATTAAATCCCAATGATTAAAATGCGCATTGAAGATATTTTAAATTACAGAGGATATTTACGACATGATCTACGTGAAATCAATTGATTATTTATTTGGATATGTTTTAAATATTTTACATATTTTAATTTTAACACATCATATTTGAATTATGTCGTTTAATGGAACTTTCAAAAACGTTCTATTTGACTAGCCGTTAGTTCGATATCGTCAATACCTGAGGATGTCTATTACATATAGATGAAAACGTTTGTAGAAAGAATTTTTTCTGCTGGCTTATGAACTGGATATGGTTTATTTGGTGAGTCGGACATAATTAAAATTAAATAACCAGTTTTTTGAAATACAGTCTTACTAGGTTTGTTTATAATCCAAGCTTTATCACTTGAAGAATGTGGCTTTTGTATATTCTTTTCTTCAATGCATTGCCATTTACCTGCAGTTGCAGCTGATGTAAAGTTTATTTTTCATAGTGGTTTGTAACCACAATCTTTTACATGTGGCACAATAAATTTTTTAGAATGCAATAAATACAGTAGAGCGTCGATTTTCCGAAAGTCAATCATCCGAAAGAATTCCAGTCAACAAATTTAAATTTTCGCCAGTGCTGTGGCGTTTCAATCTTTGGCTATGTCTTGGGCTACTCAAATATTTTACGTTTTTGATACTAAATTAACATCTGAAGTATAATTTTTTTATTATTTTTATATTTTTCAATATATTTATTTTGAATAAAAAAATAATTTTTAACGATACAATAATCTTCGTTAGGCTTAACATCGACGAAAATTCAACGCGAAGCGACACGCAACGGAGAAAAATTTCGAAATCGGATACGTTAAACTATTTTTTCGTACGTAAATCAGTTATCCGAAATATCAGTTATCCGGTCCCCAATTGATTCGGAAAATCGACGCTCTACTGTAGTAATTCCAAACTAAAACATTCTGGAATTGCTATTTATGTTATGATGGTCTTGATAAATATTTGTGTTTATACTGTATGGATGTATGTAGGCTGATGAGGGGTCTTTGTGCCCAAAATGCATTCTACTAAAAATTTGATTGTGGTTAATTAAAGTCTATTTTTTTGTAAAAATTTAGTCTACTTTGCTCCAGTCAGTTCCTGATGTGATAGGCCCTTCAATTTATCATAGCCATATTTATTAGGCTAATTAATTTATTATCTATATATATAAAAATGTGTGTGTGTCCTTCATGCATTACCACACCGTTTATCCGATTGCCGTGAAACTTTGGGAAGTTGTTTAATATACTCCCGCAAAGGTTTCTGGCATAATACGATTGCCATGAAACTTTGGGAAGTTTTTTAATACACTCCCACGAAGGTTTCTGGCATAGTACATTTATCCTACGATAGATGGCGCGCGTGTATACGAGCACTGTGTGTTCTGTGTATTCGATCGATTTCAAATTGTGAAGACCATTTCCTCCCCTCCAAAAAATATCTTTATATATGCATTTGTGAACTGTTATTTATAATATTTGTAATAATTTTTGTTTAATCACTTTATTTCAACTATTTTTTGCTAATTATGTATTCGCTCGAACTTTGTTAAAACCTTAACTGTAACGAACAACAACCAAAGTTGTAGGAGGAAATTTGCTTATTTTATAAAGCGGTCTAGGAATCCACTTTTCCAAATTTTAATATTGACTCAAAATAATTTCAAAAGACAAATTACAATAAAACTGTTTATTATCCAACTATCAGAAATTTCACAACATGCCAAGGAAGAGAGGAAGGAGCAATTAAATAATCAAAATTATAAAGGATTAAAAAATATTATATAAAAATGAGGAATATCGCACTTCTAACAATCTCTGTGTGTATGTGGGCTAAATTTAAAGAATCCGTGCTTCTCACATGTACAGTACAACTGTATGTGGCCTGTTCACGCGATACTTTTAATAAAACTGCTA